GTAATTTGGCGAAAGAATACACCACAATATTCTTGAACGCACTTTTCGAAATGTATTATGTACATGTACCTATCTTGTGTGAGCATGATTGTATGACCGGCGGGGGGAGAGGGGTTTAATCATACGATATTTAGTTGCCTACCCTGTCTCGAAAACCTGTGCACGCCACTGAAGTATACTACGTATATCCCACATGGGTGTAAAGTTCTCATCATTACAAATTATTCAAGCTCAAACACCAGGTAAACGGTTAATAGTAGCTATTAATCATTTAGGAGTGTCCTTAGATATAGTACTACTTCAGCATCAGGCTCCTAATGACAGATTGGTTTCAAGAGTAAATACCCTAGTTTTAGTATATAAACCGAATAAGGGAGTTTTTTTTTACTTTATGTATTACAGATCAGCTATAGAGAGCAACAGTTCCTGTGTTCAGGAGTTCATAGCTAAGAAACGAACCTTTGAAGATACTTTGAGTTCCATGACCATATTGAGCTGGATTTTCGGTAAATTTTTCACATATTTCAAGTTTTTATCTTTATCTACATTGAGTTTGTTTGTATGTTTCTTATCTTCTCCATCCGAATCTACATTTTGGAATGAGCACCTAGCTTCACCTAGCTTCACTGACGGACTGACTGGCAGACTATTATTTATTCACGTTTCAAAAGTATCAAATTATGGTTAATTATAGTTTAATCGAAATAAATGCTTTAACTTTGTTTAAACGTGCTTATCTCCAGAACTAGTAGTCCGATTTTTATAATTCTTTTTGAATATTAAATAGTCATTTATCATTTGTTTTATGAAACATAACACTACGATCAGTCGAAGCCGAGCAGTCTACATGCGATAACCATCACTCTATCTATTTAAAAAAAGCCCTTCAAAATCTGATGCGTAGTTTTAAAGATCTAAGCATATATATTGTCAGACAGAAAAAGCATTTTTCTGTTTTCTCTGCCTCGTTGACCGAATGGTCGCAAGTGCGACTGTCAGGCAAGGGGTCTCGGGTTCGATTCCCGGGTCTGGCAAATTATTACTGGGTTGTTAAAAATTCTCAGTAGTAGCACGGAGTCTGGAATTGTGCCCGGTATATGGCAATAGGCACACCCCCTATTACATGGGACTCATAACGTAAATAGTGAAAAGTGGGTGTTACATTGTACAGTGGCATAATGTACACTTCTGCCTACCCCTTCGGGGATAAAAAGCGTGATGTTATGTTATGTAAAAAGCATTTTTTATATGTATATATTGAAAAAGTCAACAGCTATTTCCTTTTTGCTAACAGGTGTAGGTGACCGTCACCTACAGAATATAATGTACAATACTAGAGACGGCGGCGTCTGCGCCGTGGATTGGGCGACCATCTTCAAATACGGACGTCGAGAGCTACCCCCCGCTAGACTTACAGCCAATTTATTGGCTGTGTGTGATGTTAAAGGTAAAATATACCTCAGCTTCTACGTACGTGCAATCTCGTTCTTTCCCGTTTCCGTGGGATTTTCGGAAAATCCTTGGTAAAAAGTATCCTATGTCCGCCTCCTGGTTCTGAGCTACCTTTAATATTTAACTAGCGATCCGCTCGCACGGGTGCAATATGCGTGTATTATACATTTAACCTTCCTTAAGAATCAGTCTATCTATAAAAATACCGCATCAAAATCCATTGCATAGTTTTAAAGATCTAAGCATACATAGGGGCAGACGGCGGATAGCGACTTTGTTTTATACTATGTAGTGATTATCGTCCAAGTCGATTTAACAGTTCTTTAGTTATGAATAATGTAACTAACACGACTTTGTTTATATATATATATATAGATATAGGTAGGCCGTGTTTCTGCCTCGTTAGCCGAGTGGATGCAGGTGCGACTGCCGGGCAAAGGGTCTCGGGTTCGATTCCCGGGTCTAGCAAAGTATTACTGAGTATTTAGAAATTCTCAGAAGTAGCATGGAGTCTAGAATTATACCCGGTATATAGCAATAGGTTCACCCTCTATCACATGGGACTCATAACATAAATGTACAGTGGCATTAAGTGCCATAATATGCGCCTGTCCCTTCAGGGATAAAAGGCGTAATGTTATGTTATATGTTATATAGGTAGGTTAATTAATAATACAATAAATGTTTCTGTTTCAGTTTTGGAGAGTCGTCTACAACAACTGTTATTGTTTTTGAGAAATAATAAGAAAACTTTTGAAACATTTTTGAAGACATCATTCTATTGGCTGGGTCCGGAATTTAAAGAGGTGAGTTACAATTATAATTTTAGGGGGAGGGGGATCATCGAATGACTGCTCCCGCCTGAGTGAGGCGGGAGGGAGTGTCAGACTCTTACTGACTAAAAACCACCCCGTTCCTTCTCCTGCACGTCGAGCCGAAGACCCGGTGACCTGGGATATACATGAGTTGCGTGCGTGGCGACATTTCGCAGCCAAAAATTTCAATTAATTAAATACATATGTCTTATCGATCGATACTTATAATGCTGCATAATAGGGTAGTGTCTTAATTTTTATTTTAATGTCCGTCTGGTAGATTATTTTATAACAATAGACACGTATTTTTTATTTTCATACAAAATGAAATTCTTTCGACGATATATTGATTTGAAATGTCGTATGACGTCACGGTTTTCTACAATTTATAGGGTAGCGTGACATAACGACCTCCCACTCCTAAACTTAACTTCGTTTTATCTAAGTATTGTTTTCTTATACGACAAAATAAAAAATACGTGTCTAATATTTTTTCATTACCTAACTGACGGACTAATTAGATTTTTAAATTTTCATGCACTATCTACTACCCTATAGTATTTTTTTTAAAAGAGTAACGATGGAGTTTCTTGCTCGTTCTTCTCTATTCGTAACTACACTTTGGATCGAGCGCCTAGCTTCCCTGGCAGACAGACTGACGGACGATTCAAATTTGTTTTTATTCGTTTCAAAAGTGCCTAATTAAAGATTAATTGAAATAAATTCTTTGACTTTAAAAACGTATATACAGACTTACATAACATCACGTATTTACCTCTATGTTACAAGTCCCATGTAATGGGGGTGAGCCTATTGCCATATACCGAGCACAAACGTGCTACTACTGAGAATTTTTTTAAAAACCAGTTATACTTTGCCCGTACCGGCAATCGAACCCGAGACCGCGTGTCCGGTAGCGTCGTAGGCCAAGGCACTTGCGACCACTCGGCCAACGAGGCAGTCAATAAACCTATATATTTGTGTCCTTTTTAACCGACTTCCTAAATAGGAAGAAATTCTCACATCTGGTATTTTTTTTTTCAGTTGAAATACATAAACAAAATATTACGAGGCGAAACAGTGTCTTATACAATAACTAGAGAGTGTCTTGAAGAGTCGGAGATTAAGAATAAAGATAAATACATCGCGTTATTGGACGATTTGTTCCAGGACTTCGCATCTAAAGATACTTATACTGTGGAGGAACAGGTAACAGAAAATATATTTTCTATTAGAACTAGCTTGCACGTCTGTCTTTGCCTGCATTCTCATATAACAGAGGTGCACATTACGGCACTTAATGCCACTGTACAATGTAACACCCACTTTTCAATATTTATGTTATGAGTCCCATGTAATAGGGGGTGAGCCTATTGCCATATACCGGGCACAATTCCAGACTCCGTGCTACTACTGAGATTTTTTTTAAACTCAGTAATACTTTGCCCGACCCGGGAATCGAACCCAAGACCCCTTGACCCCGAGTCGCAGTTACAACCAGTCGATCAAAGAGCCGAAACGACACGACAATGTGGGTACCCACATTGTCGTGTCGTTTCGGCAGAAAATAAAAAAAAAACACACCTCACGTAATTTATGGACGCCCCCTAACAACCATACACATTTATAATATTTTCGCATTTATAATATTTGTTAAACTGTCAAACACCAAGCGGTCACCGGTGACCGCAACCTATTGTTCTATAATTGTGTCTGCAAAACCGGTACTCGACGAGTTAAATAATAAGATGTGTCTTAATTTGTATTTAATTTTACAGATATCATATCTACTGCGACAATGCATACACCCGAGTATTCTATCGGTCACCAGGTCAGGTTGGGAGGCGTGGATATAGTGTGGCATCCTGCAACCAAACACCATATACAAGCTATGTCTTTATAATAACTATCGTGAGACATACTAAATTAAGTAAAATCGCGGGTTACTTGCGTGAATATACTGAGAAAAGCTCTACTAGTTTCGAACCACAGAGGGGATCTTCCTCATGAGCAGCGTGCGCAGTCGCGGCGACGTCGCGCAGCTCACTGAGCTTTTCTCAGTATATTCACGTGACTAACCCGTGATTTTAGTTAATTTAGTTAACTATATACAAGCATTATGTATCCACTGCCTCAGAGGTTGGAAGCGACCTTGCATACACAAAAATACTTATTGGGATCAGGCATTTCAATAAAACCACTTTTTTATGGCATAAGCCGGTAAACGAGCAGACGGATCACCTGATGGTAAGCAATCGGCGTCGCCCATGGACACCTGGAACACCAGACGCGTTACAAGTGCGTTACCGGCTTTTTGGGGATTTTGAGGATCGTTGGGGATTCAGGGATTGGGGAAATTAGGGAAGGGGAGGGTAATTGGGCCTCCGGTAACCTCACTCACACGACGAAACACAACGCAAGCGTTGGTTTCACGTCGGTCTTCTGCTCGGCCGTGGTATCACTCCGGTCGAGCCGGTCCATTCGTACCGAAGCATGGCTCTCTCACACTTACAAATATCATTCCACTCATATCCCTAAACCCCAAACAATTAGCAACGCATTTGTAACTCCGCTAGTTTTGCGGTTGTCCATGGGCGGTGCGGATTGCTTACCATCAGGTGATCTGTCCTATAAAAATGTAACAAGATGCTTTTATCTTGTATAGTTCAGTTGTTTTTTTTTAAATAGTTACATTGTGTTCATTAATTATGTATGTAATTGATTTGTATTTTTCTTTTTTATGTTTTTTGTATGGATAATAAATATTACTACAATAATTATTTGATGGTTTTATTAAACATTGCTCCACCCTATGATTCTTTCCTGTGTCAACATACAACTTCACATACACATGACACACAGACCTGGAACAAAATTTGTGGATCACAGTGTACGAGAATCGAATGCGCTACACTATCCGCAGGACCGCCGTAAGCGTGCAAAGCGTGTCGCGGAGAACCTAACGGGTAACCGGGGCTCCGGCTCGACGTGCAGGAGAAGGAACGGGGTGGTTTTTAGTCAGTAAGAGTCTGACACTCCCTCCCGCCTCACCCAGGCGGGAGCAGTCATTCGATAATTTTCGCCCCTTAAAAAAAAAAGGCGTGCACAGCACACGGGTGCACGATCATGGTGGCGGCAAATCGTGCGACTCATTGCCTACGTACTATATTCAAAATCATTGTACAGAGTAAACAGAAAGTATAAGAAATATCATCGCCGGGAAAAAATCCCACTCGACAATATTAGCGTATAACTATCTATTGTCATCCGTAAAGAATAAGACTTACGCGCGACATCGCCGCGACCGCGCACGCTGCTCATGAGGAAAAACCCCTCTGTAATTCGAAACTAGTAGGGCTTTTCTCGGTATATTCACGTGAATAACCCGCGATTTTTAGTTTTTATTTAGTATGTCTCACGATAGTTATTATAAGATGCGATACCAAACTTGGAATCATCCGAAAATTGTTCACCACCTGCTCTCGATCAGTGGCGCCCCAAATCCTATACCAGTAACTTTAGTCGTATTCTATGAATATTCATCAACAGCCTATAAATGCCCACTGCTGAGCAAAGCCTCTTCTCCCACGGAGGTTTGAGCATTAATCACCACGCTTTCTCAATGCGGGTTGGCGTTTTCAAATTTATAATTAGAAATTATAAGCCCAGGTTTCCTTACAATGTTTTCCTTCACCGTTTGTCAATGGTCTCTAGATAATCTTAGAAAGTAGATATAACTCTGAAAAAGTCCCATTGGTACTTGCCGTTGGTAGGTTCCGAACCGGCACCCTCATGCATGAGAGGCAGGCGTCTTAAACCTCCGTCGTTCCACCACATCATTCTGTTAATATTAGGAATTGTAAAATTCGGGGAATCTTACTACTCGCCGCCCAATACCGGTTAATTGCGCCCCAAATCTAATACAAGAATCCCTCTAAGCTTACTGTTTGCAGCCCTATACCGGTTGGTAGCGCGTGGCGCCCCAAATTGTATACAAGCATCCTTAATCGGTTTCTGTAAAAGATAGGACGGATAAAATAAGAAAAATCGACCACTCGCCGCCCACTCCTGGTTTATGGCGCTCCAAATCCGATACAAAAATCCTTCTCACCTTACTTTTTGTCGCAGTATACTGATCGGTGGTGCCTTAAATTCGATATAAGGATCCATATTCGTAATCTATAACAGTCATTTACTGGTACAGTTAGAAGAATCCCCTTTCCCTTCTGAGCTCATCACCTCTTAATGTGGTTCCAACCCAAACTCGATATGAGTATCTTACTTTAAAAAAGGTGTATTTAGTAAAGTTACTAAAAATTGTGCGAATGTGTCTCCAGTTCTCAGACAAAAATATAAAAATCACGGTGAACGCTGGCTGTTTCACTATCGCCTATTCTTTCATCCATAACAATGAGACGCTACTAGAAAACAGCTCAGGCAATGCTCTCTACGCTGGTTGTGTTAAAATTTCTAAAGAAAACATCATTGAAAGCGAAATCGGACTTGTATCTGTTTTTTTTTTATTATTTAACTCGTCGAGTACCGGTTTTGTAGACACAATTATAGAACAATAGGTTGCGGTCACCGGTGACCGCTTGGTGTTTGACAGTTTAATTTATCTAGGGTTTTTGGTTAAAATGAACATATCAAACCCATTGTTCCTTATAACTATTAACACATAGTACTTATCCTAGTTGTTTATAAATAATTACGAGGGTCGGTGCTGGGTCTGCGGTACTAGCAAGTAAAACGCTTGTGCTATTTCTGATGCAGGCTCACTTAAAACACTCTGTATGATACCTACGTTCATCTTTGCAATGCCATACTTTCTCAGCAACGACTTCCGTTCCACCTTATTCCGGACACATTCCATCAGCAAATGTTGCACATCCTCAATCTTTCCACAAGTCGGACAATTCGGACTTGTATCTGTTGGAGTAGACTTGTCTAGTGTCCACTTGCCCCACGAAGACACAAATCTGCATATCCGCTTCAGAATGTCTATCATCGTGGTCGATCTTGAGCTTCACGCTTAATGTCGCTCCACGTAATACCGCCTGTCACTTCAGCCAACATTGTGGATTGCTAGGCTTATCTACATAAGTAGGCCACGCTTCTTTTTCTGGCAAAGCTTGCTTGAGTTAGTATATTGTGGTGTGGGGAACTCTTCGAAGCGTGTGAGACGACATGCAAATCAAGTGGAGTTAGATTAATTGATTTGCAAGTCCACCGGGTTTTTAAGGCACGGTTGATGAAAACTTGTAGTCTCCATGAGATTCCTCGGTGATCTTCCACATTTTGCACTTGTGAGGTAGACAAAGACACTGGACCCGAAAATTTTGAGTTCAACCCTTTCGAATCGGTGTCCGTGAGCGCCAAAAAAGGTCTCAACTAGGTGACAGTAACTCATGATTTGGCGATTCTTGAAGCAATACTCTTCACTACCTCCAGTTTGGATAATTCCCCACACTATCACTCGGCGCCGATTATCGGTGATAGGAAGTTTAAATTATGATCCCATCTAGAACGACATAACATAACATCACGCCTTTTATCCCCGAAGGAGTATACAGAGGTGCACATTATGCCACTGTACAATGTAACACCCACATTCCACTATCTATGTTATGAGTCACATGTAAAAGTGAGTGAGCCTATTTCTATATACCGGGCACAATTCCAGACTCCGTGTTACTACTGAGAATTTTTAGAAACCAAGTAATCTTTGCCCGACCCGGGAATCGAACCCGAGAGCCCTTGCCTGGCAGTCGCAGTTGCGACCACTCGGTCGACGAGGCATCTAGAACGAATAGGAAGAAAAGCAAGATCGCTGCCGGATACGAGTACAGTGTGAGCTGCTACGTAATCCGTGATGAGACCATCACAAGTCAATCTACAAGAATACTTCCTGTATTATGGTCTTCAATAGACAGACGATTTTAGCTGACGAGACCCATCTAGTTAGATGGGTTTTAATGCTGACAAAGGTTTTGTCAGCATTAAAAAGATGCGACTCAGAAGCAGAAACTGGTACTGGTATTTATTGGCGCTCACGGAAACTGACTCAAAAGGGTTGAACTCAAAATCATCGGGTCCAGTGTCTTTGTCAGCTTCACATGTATAAAATGTGGAAGTTGACCGAACAACGATCTCATGGCAATTACAAGTTTTCATCGACCGTGCTTTAAAAACCCGATGGACTTGCAAACCAAGTGGAGTTAGCTTGCTCACTCGCTTCGAAGAGTTCCCCACACCACTATATGGTTACTAAAGCAAGCTTTGCCAGAAAAAAAAGCGAAGCCTACTTAGATAAGCCTGACAGCGTACCGTGTTGGCTGAAGTGAGAGGCATCCGTATTACGTGGAGCGACATTAAACGTGAAGCTCAAGACCGACCACGATGATAGACATTCTGAAGCGGATATGCAGATTTGTGTCTTCGTGGGACAGGTGGACTCTGGACAAGTCTACTCCAACAGATACAAGTCCGATTTCGCTGTCAATGTTGTTTTCTTCAGCAATTTTAACACAACCAGCAAAGAAAGCATTGCCTAAGTTGTTTTCTAGTAGCGTCTCTTTGTCATGGATGAAGAATATAACAGGCGATAGTAAAGCAGCCAGCGTTGACCGTTATTTTTATATCTTTGTCTGAGAACTGGAGACACGGTGGCACAATTTTTAGCAACTTTACTAAATACACCTTTTTTAAAGTAAGACTACAAAAACTCATATCGGATTTGGGTTGGAACCACATTAAGAGGTGATGAGCTCAGAAGAGAAAAGGGTTCCTCTAACTATACCAGTAAATGCCTGTCATAGATTACGAATATGCATCCTTATATCGAATTTGAGGCGCCACCGATCAGTATACTACGCTAAAAAGTAAGGTGCGAAGAAACTATAAGCGCGCCACCAAGACCTGACGGAGTGTGCGTTACCCAGGCCAGATGTTGTCGAAAATGGTAAT